GTTCCAGACAAAAACTTGGGAGATGGTATCACAGTTTGACATTTAAAATCAGGCCTTGTGCCCAAGTGGAACTCCATTCAACTTTGGTTCAATGATTTGGTGTCCTGTCTGTGCACAGGGGGAATGCAGGATTACAACTTCTTCAAAGGGAACTGTTTTGAAGTCACTTTTGGGTTGAGCTGCTGCAAGTATCCACCAGCTTCTCAGCTTTTCACAGAATGGACCAATAACAAGGAGGCCCTTCTTGCCTACATACACCAAGTGAGTTGATTTGAATGTTTTGTGTAGTCCCATGTACTATCTAACAAACCTTATTTCACTTCTGTTTATAGGCTCATATTGGAGTGAGAGGTTTCGTAATGACCAGATCGGGCTTTGGTCTCCCAGATGCAACAATCTCCGTTTCTGGAACTGATCACAACATCACAACTTGGATGTTTGGTGATTATTATCGTCTGCTGCTTCCTGGAAGATATGACATCACTGCTAGCTCATCTGGGTGATTATATGTAGATGCATAAAAGAAGAATTATGAAATGGAATTGGTCCAGTTTAATGGAATTTACTCGTGTTTCCTTCAGATACCTTTCAAATACTGTCAAGAATGTGCCAGTGATTGAAGGCAAAGCCACGCTGCTAAACTTCACTCTCGAGGAACCTGTAGAGGAGATGTTAATGCTAGATCCCTCTGAACAAGCTGTGGTTACCAATGAAGGTCTGAACACACCTGGGCCTCCCACCTCAAGGTCTCCAATCCATACTTTGGATTTCCGATATCATAGTTATGATGAAATGGAGATGTTGTTGCAACTGCTTAGTGCTGTCCATCCTTCCATCACTTACCTGAACTCTGCTGGACGATCAGTGCAGGGCAGGAATCTTTATGTAATGGAGATATCCACCAATCCTGGTGTTGATCAGCAAGGTGCGACTGCGTACAAACACATACATATACAATATAAAAAAATATTTCTCAACTGGTCATCTGTGTGATCATCTCTTTACTTCATCCAAACCAGGCAAACCAGAGGTCATGTTTTTGGGTAACCTGCATGGAAATGAGTTTATCGGACGTGAGATTCTCCTAAACCTGGTTGAGTACTTGTGCCGCAATTATGGCAAAGATCCATTGGTCACACGTCTGGTCAATAGTACAAGAATTCACATCATGCCTTCCATGAACCCAGACGGGTATGAATTAGCACTAAAAGGTATGAGCAAACATATTGGCAGGTTGTTTCATTGTTGCCTTCTGTATTTACCCTCATTTTCTTCTCGTAGCTCACAACGAACGGGTTTCGGGAGACCTAAGTATTATTGGACACGGTAACAGTCACCGTGTTGACCTGAATGCGAATTTCCCTAAACGGTCAGGA